GGACAGATTTTAAGTATCAATTCTGCTTAAAAAGATGCAATCTAATCCTGTTTACATGAAATAAGCCTGCTCCCGAGCAGGTTTAAGTTTACGGACCTGATGCTATGACAGCAACTCCGGGATGAGCTTCAAAGAACCAAACAATCCAAGATCAGGCGAAATCGTCAACGATGAAATCCAGCTAACTGAGTTAGCGACGTACGAAGAACGGGCCCCTGGAGAGAAAATCTTCAGTGTCCATATTAAACAGGATGAATAACAAGAAGGCTTAATACTTACTGTGTTAAGTAGTGGTTATAGATGTTACTGCTCAGAATTGATGTAATTCCACTGTAAATGAAAGTGGGCCGTTATTGAACTAGATTAGCCGCGTTTGGCAGCGTCTACTGTTTCTGTACAGCGTGATGTAATCCCACGGTAGAGGAAAGAAACGCTTGCACACATTTGACCTCTGACAGCTATCGACTTTCTGAAGAATCAAAGGTTAAACAATGTTTCCAGCTATTTGAGCGACGACTAATTGCTCGTATAATTTTTTGTTTGTGGCAACAACTCGATGCACCGGGACCATCAACGCCTGAAATGCAGACATTTCAAATGGCGCACGCGCTAATAGTGATTAAAACTGAGAAAAACAACTGAACTGTGAAAAAAGGCAATGAAAAACATAAAACACGAACGAGGATTTCATTATTTTCACGCATTTTATGCATGCTAAATAGGCTGCCAAAATCATTCTTAAAGCCATTATAAATGTATTTCTATTCTGGCTGAATTATAGCCTACTGTTTAAATTGTAATATAGGCTACATACATTATAAATATTAAAAATAAACAATGATGTTCTGGTTTCCTTTTTGAAAAGAAACAAATAAATTATTAATATACAATATAGTGTAAGTGTTTAATTAGGCTACTCACTAGATATATTTAAAATAAAATATTTAGCATATGTGACCCTGGAGCACAAAAGCAGTGTCAAGTCGCTGGGGTATATTTGTAGCAATAGCCAACAATACATTGTATGGGTCTCTCAGCCAAATATTGTCCTATCCTAACAAACCACACATCAATGCAAAACTTATTTATTCAGCTTCCAGATGATGCATAAATCTCAATTTAAAGTATGACTGTGGTCCCGGGTCACATATGGTCGCCTACTATCAAAACACTTGCTTAAAAATCTTGCGTAATCAAAAAGATAGTAGCTAGTTTTTCATATATAGCCCGTTTATATTAATCCTAGTTTGTAATTCATAAACAATAAAAAATATATCGTTCAAGATAAATTAGATAATATAATTCATTAAAAAAAAAAACGTGTTAATGTTTTGTACGCAGTAAATAATCAAACAGCAATGCGTTAACGTGAGCAATTAAAAAAATGAATTAAAAAAATACGCAAAAATAGGCCTAGTTAAAAAAAAAAAATGTACAACTTAAATCTAATATCTTACTCAACTGGATAAATATGAGTCCATTTTATTATTAATTTTTCATTCGTATTTTTAAACCCTGACAATAGCATTTCCATGCAGTCAAATGGATAGAATTATCGAATTAAAACTACTGATCGATCTCTTAACGCGGGGGATAAAAGCGACACTCTATAGGCCTACGGCACTGAGTATTAGACAATATTACTGAAGTTATGAACAACGTTTGAAAACAGCCTATATAAAATTCCTAAAGCGAAAAAACCCACAATCCACCTTCTTGTTTTTAAGCTTTTCTAGCGCAAGGACTCTCAGCTATCCCAGAGACAGCGTAAAATAAAAGAGGCTTTTAATGACCAACAATAACGACCAATAATGCATTATGCCAAACTAATGTAGACCCAGTTTTTTAGTTAACTGTACCTTCATGTCTCCTGCCAGCCATGTCTAACTCTCTTTTGTGTACAAAGTGAGGCAATGAATCAACTGATTATACATCAGTAAAAAAATAACCACATTTGAAATTTATTTTATTGTATAAATATTGCTTTAGATATCAGTCCAAGTTGAAAGCCTGCAACTCACCACACATGGACATTTCTTATCAGACAGCTATGTAAAGGCTCAGTAAAACACACTATGGTTAAGGGAAAAAAAGAACTGGTAATCATCTGACACAGGGTCGCATCTGGAACATCTGTTGTGACAAGCCTATCTTTTGTGTACCTTTCCATGGCTTGCACGTCCAAAGACAGCTCTTCAAAAAAAAAAAAGAAAAGAAAAGAAACTTAAGGTGGACCAACCCTGCAAAGACGCTTACCTACAGCCATGCACGTGTTTCACATTTTCCCGCGTTTTTCAGCGAACGTGTTACATTTGAAAACAAATCACCAGCGTGCTTATCTCAGACAACAGAAATCGTTTCATTCAGACTGAGCTTGCCAATATATAAATAATGTACTGTAGCACAGCCAGTGTTGGGTTTCTCTCATTCAAAGGGCCATTTCCTCAGACTGTGATTACCTGGGATTATTGTTAGTTTCCAAAAACTAACAGCTATTCATCCAGTCTTACCCAGCAACACATGCCATGTAGAGACTATTGTGGGTGACTAGGGGTTTGTTTGAGCTGGTCAGGTGAACTCTGACCCCTGGTGCAATAGACAGGCGTGTGTCTGTTGTTCAGGGAGCCGCAGGTTTTTGTCAGTGAACCGTGTCGAGGTTCTGCTTATACTGACTGCTTATCTATTATTGACTTGGGAGGTATAAGCTGAAATCTCCAGCAATACGTGCGTATTCACCGAACGGACGAAAGGGATCCCTGGAATGGCTTTGTTGTGCCCCCCCACCAAGTCTATAAAAGTAGGAAGTGACCAATCGGATGAGCCCTACAGAGGTCATGGACAAAGGTACACGAGGGTCCCCAGATGACAAGGAGAAGGCGGACTGTGAAATGAACTGTTTTGTCTTCCTCTCCGGCTGGCGACTCGCCCGCTGATGTTTTTCCTTTAAAAGGACGGCCTCCAAGTTCCCCGAGCTTCCTGTACCGTCTGAGGAGATATTCCAGTCTGGGTTCGTCCCCAGAGACACGTGCTTTATGGGGCAGAACGGCTGTGGGCCGTTTGAAGTTGCATGAAATCCCATTTAGCTTAGTACCAAGGATGGCTATTATTACCGCATACGCTGACACAAATATCCACTTTCAAACTCTTTGAATATTAGTTGACTAACATGCATGTCTGTTTTCGATTATCAGGTTGAGTTATTAAAAAATAAAACATTATGTTTGTTGCCTGAATTTAAAAAACCAACAGGTTTGGTTTGAATCTTTATTGAAGTTTAAGAACAAGGATTCGAATCAAAAGGACTGGTTACGATTCACGATTCTCAACGGTTCCATTAACAACTCTTTTAATACTTTTGAGGAAGAAATATTTGGAAGAAAGTAGCCAAATCTTCTAAAATTTTTTTTTACACTTTGGATGATTTTCAACAGCAAACCATTAAAGAGTCATTCATAGGGAATACAACTACACTGGTCATGGTGTATTGTATGATTCACCAAAAGAATCATAAGTTCATAAAAGTCAGTCATTAGAGAATTAAACTAAACTGATCACTGAGTATCGTTTAATTAACCAAAAGGAAGCAGTTCATAAGAGTCATTCATTCTAAAATCATTAAAACCAAAACATCTGTAAAATCATGAAACTGGTTCTGAATAAGAATTGGTTCTTGGTTCCCATTCCTACTAACGAATCTGATCTAGAAGTAGTGTAAACGATATTAGATATCAGTTTTCCTAATGTGAAAAAAAGTAGAACGAAACTACTCGGGTGAGTGAGCCACGTTGTATTCGCCCGAGCAATAAATGCAAAAATAACTAGTTTGTCTTTTAGCCACATCCGAACACAGAGGTCAGCCTTGTCTTTAGGCTGAAAATAGAGCCGCCTTCATCAGCTCGTGTGCTTGAAGGGAAGAACGAAACGAATCCTGCTCAATGAATCTTTCTCACAAACAGGCCTGTCTGCGGAGCCGAGCCCTTGTGATTAACCCTGCGTGATGTATGCAGGTCAGTCCAGAGGGCAACTTAAACTCGGAGGCAGATTAGGAAAAACAGCGCTGGATTACTTTGCCACTCAGGTGCGACTTCAAGAGCAAACACACACCTAAGCACATCAGATCGGAGCGGACAGTTTAAGCTCTGCCTTTGACAATAAAACACGCCATTGTCATTGTGGCAAACTACAACCAAACTCTGTGATGGAGTGTGTTTATATTAGCGTTTTTTTGGTTGATTTTGAAGCATTTCACCAACACAAACTCATTCGTTTGGACACGTAAGTAACGGCAACGTCTTTCTAAATGAGACCAAGTTGTAGCTCCGCCTCCGAATGGCAGCCAGCCACTAATTAAGGCGCTTTCATTCAAAGAAAATATATTAGCACCATGTTGAAGTATGTAAAATAAAGTTAGAGTAATTTGTGACAATCAGTTTGAAGGAAATGGTAAAGTGGGCCCCTGTCTTTCAAACTCAACTTTCGCTATATATAGACCACACACTGATCCGCTGGTCCTTGGACCCCGCGGCCAAAAGTCTCTGTGGGGGGTCCTGATGGTCTGAGAAGGCCACACTATTCACCATGTCAGTATGATGTTGCAGAACAGCCAGCGGCTTCAGTTTCTTCCAGCCGAACACTCTGATGTTGTCGTCCCATCCCGCCGTAGCGAGGATCTTTCCATCGGCACGAATACACAGCTGGGAGACCCCAGGATTGTTCATCTGAACAGAGTCGTGCATCTGGAAGGAAACACAAGTCAGACATCAACCCAAATGAGCCGCGTTAGACAAATGCAGGACTTTAATTAACAAACGGTGCCGTCGGAATCCCTATGCAAGGCCGTAAATTGAATATCAGATGTGAAACTATAAGTTTTGCTATAAGTTTAATTTTGCTACGAGTTTAATCGCAACATATGTGACCCTGGAGCACAAAACCAGTCTTAAATTACAAGGGTATGTTTGTAGCAAAAATACATTGCATGGGTCAAAATTATCGATTATTCTTTTATGCCAAAAATCATTAGGATATTAAAGTAAAGATCATGTTCCATGAAGATATTTAGTAAATTTCCTACCGTAAATATATCAAATCTTAATTTTTGATTAGTAATATGCATTGCTAAGAACTTAATTTGGGCAACTTTAAAGGCGATTTTCTTCAATATTTAGATTTTTTTGCACCCTCAGATTCCAGATTTTCAAATAGTTGTATCTCAGCCAAATATTATCCTATCCTAACAAACCATCAATGGAAAGCTCATTTAGATAATGTATAAATCTCAATTTCGAATGCCATATAAACATCAACTTACTATTAAATATAATGTAGAAACTTAAAAAATAGAAACTTAAATTTTCTGTAAAGCTGCTTTGCAACGATTTGTATCGTGAAAAGCGCAATACAAATAAACTTGAATTGAATTGAAACGAATCGTGGCAATTGTCACCATAGGCGCTTACTCGTCTCAGGCGGCTAAAAAAGGATTAGCGTTTAAATGCACGAAGCGTAAACTATTTACCAGACACAAATGAGCTTGTTGTTTCAATGACCTGAGCAAGAGCGAATTTAAATCCATAAAAAGACCAGGCCATAGAGCGAGAGCGATTCCCCACCAGCCACCTTCATCTGCATCAATGGAAAGCTCATTTAGATAATGTATAAATCTCAATTTCGAATGCCATATAAACATCAACTTACTATTAAATATAATGTAGAAACTTAAAAAATAGAAACTTAAATTTTCTGTAAAGCTGCTTTGCAACGATTTGTATCGTGAAAAGCGCAATACAAATAAACTTGAATTGAATTGAAACGAATCGTGGCAATTGTCACCATAGGCGCTTACTCGTCTCAGGCGGCTAAAAAAGGATTAGCGTTTAAATGCACGAAGCGTAAACTATTTACCAGACACAAATGAGCTTGTTGTTTCAATGACCTGAGCAAGAGCGAATTTAAATCCATAAAAAGACCAGGCCATAGAGCGAGAGCGATTCCCCGATTCAGCCACCTTCATCTGATGATTGAGCCGCAAATGAACGAATAAATAGCTGTTGAACCTGGCAGAGAAAATCCGTGAGCCTCAATCGTCGGCCGTAAAACATTTAATCACGAGCATAACGCTATTTGGATTGGAGCATTAGACGTTAGGGTTACCTTTGTCACGGAGCAAGGGCTGCTTTGTTTGTGAAGGCCTTGTTGTTTTAACAGTCTCTGGTGAATTGCATTTGCATTGAAAGGTCTGGTCAACAGCGCGAGGGAAGCAAATGCTGGCTAAAGATTACCTTCCCTTGCTCTCTGTGATCTACGGTGGCCAGGAGACCTGATAAATCTCGGTAATAGGCAACAATGTGACGTATTATAACGTATTACCCAGAGCTCATTATCTCTCCTTTGAGGACATTCTCGAGGTATTTCCTGGAGAAAAGCGCACACTTGTGTGTGTGTGTGTGTGTGTGTGTGTGTGTGTCGTCTCTCCACGGGAGGCATCTGGTCCCAAAGATGGAATCGAATTGGACAGCGTAAAATTGACTTCATAAGCCGTGTCCGGAGAGACTAATGGCTCTCATGCAGGAGAAGACAGTGAAGAATTTGTCGGCGTGCTCCTGTTTCTGCCTGGAAAATCAGAGCCAGTCACTCCAGCATGTGGAAGATATAAGCCAGTCAGGTATTCCTGACCCAAGCGGATAGAAGAATGCACCGGGAACACCAACCCTAACATTATTCTTTAACAGAGGAGGAAAAACATGCATTGCTTTTGCTCGTATCTGAAATCAGTTTGCATCATAGTCCACATCGAAATTCTGGTGCATGGTAATAATGTCACCTGTGAGCAGAAACTTTCCCACAAAGGCAAGGGGAGAGACTGGTTTGCATGCTGCGGCCAAGAGAGACAGCGAAAAGATGAATCGCTCTGAGCCGAGGTTGGTATGCCTGAACTAAACGCCCATCTGGTCCATATTACAGAGCTGATAATGATGGGTTAATGTGTCTATCTGTGTTTGTTATGCTTCCCATAGTTTGTGTCAGGAAAATACATTAATTTAATTAAGAGGTCACAGCAAAGCGATAAAAAAGGTAAATGGGTGTTTATAAAGCGAGCCGCGAGGCCTATATCGAGGAAGAACCATTAGAAAAGCCTGATTTACAGATTGCCACACTTTCGTTTTTTTGGAAAAATAATCATATGAACTGAATTTTCCAACAGCTTTCACTCTTTCAGGGTGTTGTAACACAGAAGTTTAGAGATTAAACATTACGGGCTGTGTTTAATCCAAAAGTCTTGCTAAATTAGCACATCTGGCTATTGCTTTTCCACACAAATGCTTCATTTAAATGGTGTCTATCCCATATTCGATCTAGTTTAAATGCAATATGGAAGCATTCATTTCAAACACAGCCTTTAGAGTTTGAGAATGGTTATTAGCTTTCATTTATGGAATCCATTCTGCACGAGTCCACATGCTCTGCAATGAACTCGCAGACATCAAAGAGGTCAGTCTTTATGAACTATCCTTCATTTCTCCATTGGACTATTGATTCCTGATGGGGGACACATAGCAAACGGTCATCTGTGAACGCAACGTACACACATATGCTTGTCCTGTCAGCGATTAACCCGAAAACAAATCTCAAAACTCGCCTTAGGCCCAACGGTGGACTGGAAGATTATACGTTTACTTGGTTATACTACACAAGGTTAACGGAGTGCCAATTGAAAGAGTCCTGAAATTGGAAATAAGTTGGCATTTTTGCACTTGTGGTTCCATCTGGTTATTACAAGCTCAAGATATTCTTAAACTTGAGATATTCATCATTCCTCCAGTCTTCAGTGTCACATGATCCTTCAGAAATCATTCTAATATGCTGATTTGCTGTTTAAGAATTTTTTTTTATGATTATTGTCAATATTTAAAACCGCGGAGTAAATTTTTTTCAGGATTCTTTGATGTGTGCTACAAAAGATTTCTATTTCAGATAAATGCTGTTCTTCTGAACTTTCTATTCATCAAAGAAACCTGAAAGAATTCTACTCCGCTGTTTTCAACATCATAATAATAATAAATGTTTTTTGAGCAGCAAATCAGATATCAGAATGATTTCTGAAGGATCACCTGACTGGAGTAATGATGCTAAAAATTCAGCTTTAAAAACCACAGGAAAAAATTACATTTTAAAACATTCAAATAGAAAACAGTTATTTTAAATAGTAAAAATATTTCAAAATTTTACTGTTTTTGCTGTACTTTGGATCAAATAAATGCAGGCTTGGTGAGCAGAAGAGACTTCTTTATAAAACATGAAAAAGCTTACTGTTCAAAAACTTTTGACTGGTAGTGTTCCTTACTAACTATATAAGCAGCAAATTAGGAGTTTATTGAGGCAAAAGTAATAGTTAATGGTTTCTTAATAGCGAGAATTGGACCTTAAAATAAAGTGTGACCAAAAACATCAACCAAATTGTGCTGTTTTAAGCTTTCACGTGTCTTGAAAAGGCTGTTGCTAACAGGTGCCTGAATAAACGTCAATAAATGTCATCACGCTGAGCAGGAAAACTCATTAGCTCTCTAATCCGCTTTCAGTCTCATGGTGTTTATAATCGCGCTCCATTCCGACCGAAACGTTCAAACTTGTAGATTTAACAAAAAAAGATTGAAAGTTGTCGGAAGCTCAATGGCAGTTGCGTTGATGTTTATCTTTTTACTTCTAGCGATCGCATTTAGGCTTCAAAACGTTGTGTTCAATTGTAAAGATTATCTTGAGGAACAAAACAGAACTATAAACTTCTGTTGGTCACAGAGCTTGTTCTTTTTTTACTATTCAGGTCAATGGAAAAATCCAACCACGGAACCACGGTGATGCTAACGTCTATTAAAGTCACAGATAATTTTTTTGAAAGCGATGCATTGAGACAAGTGCGCGACAAGTTGGTTGCCAATTAAAAAGCTAAGTGCCATGGATTTTTGGCAGCAACTAACGGGATGTTCAAAACGCGATATGTTGCTCTCTCCGGCATGGACTTGGCAGGCTCTTCTGACCTCACACTGATCACTGAAACCAGTTATCATCACTTGTCCACTTGAGCCTGACAGTCCAGTACAGTTGAGGGGTGTGCTTGCATTTTCCGGCAACCGCGTTTTCGGAAATTTTCGAATTACGCATTTTTTCAACCCTGCAATTCTGGATTTTGAGCATTGCACCAAGTTAAAAAAAAAGATTTTTGCTATCGCTTTGCATGCACAACAGCATTGAAAAATTGAAATCAATGCCTAATATTATTGATGACAGCGAAGGAATGTACAAAGCATGACAGAGCAGCCTGATCCCTCCAGTCGGGTGCTGACAGATGCTGGACACCTGAAGCACAGAGTCTGGTGGATAGTAGGAGGGAGGGCTGTTTAATTGAGAAGGGCGGTAGGAATGTAGGGACTAAAAGTGAAGAGATGTGGAGATGCATCTGTGAGTGCTGTCAGCACGTCTCCAGCAGCATGCAAAGACAGCCATGCTTGATTTAGACTAATCTTTACACACATACGACAACCATCTCTGCCTCACCCTCTAAAATCTTGTCCGTCCACATCTGTGCTTGATAAGAGCCGCTTGCTTTTCACAAGCTTACAGACTACTGACGGTTTTTCAGCAAAATGTCAAAAGATAAGTGTTAATCAAAAACAGTTAAAGAATTTTTCCATTTCATAATGACAACGAGACTGAGACAAACAATGCACATCAAGGCAATATTTAAATTTTTACTGTTGCAAGAAATAACGTGTGACAAATAACACAATACAAGACATCAATAATGTACTAAAAATGTTTTTGAAGAAATAAAACATAAAAGGAAGGTTATTGTTTAAATGCTATGCACAATGTTTTTGAAATGAGTCTCTTATGCTCACCAAGGCAGAATTTATTCAATGAAAAATGTGTACAAATTTTAATAATATTTCAAACTCTTTTCTATTTTAATATATTTTTAAATGTAATTTATTCCTGTTATGGCAAAACTGGAACATTTTCAGCATCATTACTCCAGTCTTCAGTGTCACGTGATCCATCAGAAATCATTCTAATATGCCGCACAAGAATACTTCTTCTAATTATAAAAATTCAAAATTGTTGTGCTGCTTAATATTTTTGTGAAATCAGGATTTTTTCAGGATTCGTTTACAAATAGAAAGTTCAAAAGAACAGCATATATTTCAAATAGACATATTTTGTAACATTCTAAACTTATTTGCTGTTACTTTTGTGATATTTAATGTGACTCTACAGAATAAAAAAATAAATAGTTTGTTATATGTTTTTGTTAAAGGGATAGTTCACCCAATAGTTTACATACCTGTTTGGAACGACATGACGGTGAGTAATTGATGAGTTGTAAGTTATTTTTTTGGTGAACAATCGCCTTTAAGCATTAATATATCCTTAACACAAAAATTTGTGAATATCTGGTTGAGTTTAATTTTCTCTCATCAACTAAAATTAGATACCATTTTAAGTCGAAGTAAACCTACAATTTAACATGACAAAATGGACTAAATCCAAATATTTTCCTAAAAATACAAAGTACACAAGCAGTCAAAAGTTCTTGAACAGTGAGATTTTTAATGTTTTTTTTTTTTTTTAAATCCAATCTCAATCCAGCTTAATCTAAATCCAGTATCGCACCAGTTTTTCTATTTTGTGACCCAAAGTGTCCTTTTTTAGGGATCTTATTCAGTGCCTGATCAAAAATCCCACAATATTGTTGATTTACACGACCAGCCAGGATTTTTTATGTTTTCTAAAGAAGTCTCTTTTGCTCACCAAGCCTGCATTTATTTAATTAGAAATACAGCAAAAGCAGTAATATTGTGAAATATTTTTACTATTGAAAATAACTGCTTTCTATTTGGATATATGTTAAACTGTAATTTATTTCTGTGATCAAAGCTGTATTTTCAGCATCATTACTCCAGTCTTCAGTGTCACATGATCTTCAGAAATCATTCTAATATGCTGATTTGCTGTTTAATAAACATGTATTATTATTATTATCGATATTTAAAACAGTTGAGTACATTGTTTTTCAGGATTCTTTGATGAATAGAAAGATCCCATCAGCATTTATCTGAAATAAAAAGCTTTTGTAACATTATACACTACACCATTCAAAAGCTTGGAGTCAGTATGATTTCTTTATTTATTTAATTTTTTTGGGAAATAAATGATAGAAAATACTTTTATTCAGCAAGGATGCTTTAAATTGATCAAAAGTGATGATAAAGACATTTATAATGTTACAAAATATTTCTATTTCAGATAAATGCAGTTCTTCCAAACTTTCTATTCATCAAAGAAACCTGAAA